TCCCCTTCCCCCTTTCCCCCCCCCCCCCTCCCCAGCACAGCAACAACTGGGTAGGAGCGCAGGGCCCACACTGGTGCACTGGGGCCAGCACCAGTGGGGCCCAGAGTGGGGCAGCAGGAGTGCAGGGTCCGGGCTGTGCTGCTCAAGTAGGGAGAGGAGGGAGCCAGCCTGGCGCCATAGAGCCCCTGGCAGCCTGAGCCCCGCAATCCTGCTACCCGGCTCTGGGCCCCACCAGTGCTGGCCCCAGTGCACTGACACAGTCCCCATCCTCCCTCCTGGCTGTCGCTGCAATCTGCACACCTACTTACTGCTCCTTCCCCCTGCCTGCCACAGCCATTTCCCTGCTCTCCCCCACACCACCCACCCAGCAACACATGGTTTCCAGCTGCAGCGCCAGGACTGCAGAAGCTGGCCCGGCCGGCCCTGAGGACTGGGGCAATCACCTGCAGTCCTCCCCTGACTCCCTCCCTCTCCTCCTTCTTATCTGTATTTCCCTCAGTGCAGGGAGGCAGGAGCAGTCCCAGGCCAGAAGCCTCCAGAAGCCCCAGAGGCTTCTGGCTGGGGCTCAGGGTAGGGGCTCGGGTTGAAGGGGGGGCAGGGCCAAGCTGGACTTGCTGCTGTGGTTGTTTAGTTCTGCCGCCGGCTTTCCCTGGGTTCCAGGGGGGATCTAGTGGCTGAGGGGGGATCTAGTGGCTGTTTACAATCTAGTCAGGGGGGACCAGCAGGCATTGGGGGAGTCCCTGTTCCCCTGAGCGCTAACAGGTGTGACTAGAAATAACGGTCACAAGCTGGCAGAGGGTAGATTCAGGCTAGATATCAGGAGGCGCTACTTCACTGTCAGGGCAGCTAGGATCTGGAACCAACTTCCAAGAGAAGTGGTGCTGGCTCCTACCTTGGGGGTCTTTAAGAGGAGGCTAGATGAACACCTTGTCAGGGTCGTTTGACCCCAGTGCTCTTTCCTGCCATGGCAGGGGGTTGGACTTGATCTGCTCAGGTCCCTTCCGACCCTACTGACTATGAAACTATGAAACTACTGTCTCTGGCTCCTGTCATCTTTGACAGGCAGCCAGGGGCAGATAAATATTAATTTTCTAAATGTTTTAGGGGCCCTGTGGGTCAGATAGAATGGCTTGGTGGGCCAGATCTGGCCCACGGTCCATATTTTGCCCACCCCTGCATTAGATTATTGGATCAAAATATGGAAAGGGCCTTCTCCTCTGGTGTCTACCACTGACTAGTTGTGGGTTTTTAACTGTTTACAATACCTGCCTATCCTGAGCACAACCTACTATGCATACCCAGTAGGGTTGTGCAAAGCTTCGGGTACTGATTTGATTCAGAGGAGATTTGGGTGATTTGGTAGCCAAATCTCCAAATCCGAATCAAATCAGGGGACCAATTAAAAGGTCCAAATCAATTCATAGCTCTCTGAATCAATTTGAAAAAGATTCAGAGAGCTTCGGCAATTCAAGCAGTCCCCGCTCACTGCAGCATGGAGCTGGACCCAGACTCCGTGCTGGTAAGTAGGGGGTGGGGGAGGGGAGGCTGGCAGAGGTGGGGAGGTGACCATGGGGGACCCCTGTCAGGCCTCATCCCTTGCCTGCTCCCCCAGCCCCCCTGAGCGCCCCCCAACCCCTGCCTACTCTTCCAGCCCCACATGGCTGCCCTACCCAGCCCAGCTCCCGGTTGTTAAAAAAAAAGTCCCTGCACAGCAGGTGATGCCAGGTGGGGGAGGGGATCCCTCCTGCCCCCCACTTCCCCGCGGCCTGCCCCAGCTCCTGACCCTTTTAAAAACCAAAAAGCAAAAAAACCCTCCAGACTCACTGACAGCTTCAGTGGCCTTGGGGCTTCAGGGGACTTGTGGCAGAACCCCCCCATGTGGCATGGGGCACTGGGGGGCAGTGGGGATCACCCCCCCCACCCACCCAGCAGCAGCTGGTAAGTGGGGGCTTTTTTTTTTCAAAGAGCTGGGAGCTGGGGCCGGGTGGGGCTGGAAGAACAGGCAGGGGATATGGCCTGTGTGATTCGAAGATTCGGCTGGTTTTGCGGGGGGCCAAACTCCCAAACCAACTCAAACGAAATCGTTTACCAAATCAAATCACTGTCCCCCAAATCAGCCAAATCCAAACCCAAAGTGAATACTAGCCACTTTGCGCAGGCCTACTCAGTAAATGTATGGATGCTTGCACGTCCACACTGCACCTGAAGTAGAATTGCTAACTATACATAAGTGCCAACAAAAGCAGTAACATGTCTGCACAACTGTCATTTGGGTGCACAAAGTGAAATAAGATTTTGCCTCTAAAGCATAGGGCCCTAGTGTGGCCTTCTGGTTGAGACACAAAGACAGAACTCAAGAATCAGAGGTTTGAATTCTATCACAGTGTTAAGTGAGCAAGTAACTTCATCAGCCTGTCTCCCTCTGTACCATAAGGTTATAAAGGCATTTTCACTGTCTGAGCTGCTTGTATACATTGCTATTCAGGACCGGTGTGTGTTTAGATGCATATGGGCAGCATGTGGAGTTAGGGGGCCCTGATCTCAATTGTGGTCTTGAGGTCTTGCATTAAACTGTATTACAATTAACAATCCATCCCTTGCATCATCTTCTAGAACACAGCACAAATGTAGAACCATTACTCAGATGCATAGTCTTGTTGGTCACCCTTAAATGAGGAATACTCTCCAGGAAAGGGCTACAGCATTAGGCCCTTAACATGTCCAGTGGGCTTCACGCAGGTTGTGAGTGCTGTTTTTGAGTGGTGGTGACTCTAGGTAGACATCCAAACACCAGATCCCAGCTCTTAGAAGGCTGCCTGACCGCTTTGGGCACAAAAGGCCCAAACATCATGGAATTACTATAGTTCAGGCGCGATGAAGGCTGGAAGGCAAATCCATTCCATGTACTTTTCTCTGCAGCCCTACATGGTTTAGGGGATGAACTATGGAAGAGGTCAATTGATCTGTGCCTTTAAGTCTTTATCATCCACCAGACTAAGAGGTGATGAGACGGAGAGGACAGCCACTGTTTCATGTGTGTGACGGTGAGGAGAGAATTTTTACTTTACCAAGTAGAAACAATAACATACTTTTACCTTGAACTACTTGGCTCTATTTGTTTTATGAATGTTCTTTAAAGCCCCCCATCACTGAAATAATCTGAGTACTTCATAAAGATGTACAAAGGGATCCTCACAGCACCCTGGTGAGGAGGGGAGAGCTGTTATAACGGACTTGCCAAAGCCCTCTCTAGACACAGAAATTTGCAACTGATTGGGAGTCTATATGAAGAACCATAGGTCACTGAATTAAGTACAAAGAGATTCTCCCATTTTCAGATGCATACATGGAAAATACTCATTTCTGACCTCAGGCTCAGACTATGGGACCATTGCATATACGGGTGATAGGAACAATTCTTTTATTGTTGGCTAAAAACTGAATTTAATCACATTTGAAATAAATATTTGCCATTTAATACCATAACAAACAGATAAACAAAATAAAATTAATCACGGCCCAACACATGAGATTTCAGACACGTATCCCCGATATAAGACTCTTAAAGCATACCTATTCCTAACTGTCAGAGTGATTGGCCCTTTAATGGCACCTGAGGCCAGCATCACCTATGATGGACCAACTACCTTTCATCTGAGACTAATGAGGAGATTATAAATACCACAAGTGGCTTACCTGGAAAAGAATTACAGGAAGCCAATGGGTTCCTATGTCATGCTTTGGAGCACAGAAAGCAGTATGAGGCCTCTGGGCCTCAATCATCTGCTTCTGTCAAGAAAATCACTTTATTTTGTTTTTGTATAAAAAACTATGCCTGAAAAGGGCCTGATTCAGACTCTGGATGTGGTGGCAGCCCTTTCTCAGCTGGGGAAGCAAGCCAGCCACCCTATATCAGCACATACCCATCACGTAAGGATATTACATGTTTGTAACACATCAGATTCCTAAAGAGGATTGCTGTATAGAGTTGGGACCTATCTGACAGCCTGTGAAGAGCGTTTTGGGTATTGTGTGGCCAACCTGCTGAGGAGGGCTTTAAATTAGGTCTTATGCAGGTTGGCAAAGAAAACTTACTGATTTTCTAGGTGAAGAAATCTCAGAGACATTTGCAATAATATTTGCTGTGTTTAGCCTTCAGCAAATTAGTTTTACATTACATCTCAGGGAAGACTTCCTAACTGTGTGAACTGTAAGACAATAGAACAAGCCGTCTAGGGAAGCTGTGGAATTTCTTCCTTGGAGGTTTTCAAGAAGGGTCTGGAGAGGCATCTATCATCTGTGTGAGGGGGGTTGGACTAAATGACCCTAGAGGTCCCTTCTAATCCTGTGATACTATGAATCTATAGGTGTAACATGAGCTAACCATTTGATTCCTTTTTAATATTATGCAGAAGAGTCACTATCAACTCATAATGTTTTTTCCAAAATCTTTCAGATCCCACCTCCAGAAGTATTTGAAGATCTAATTAACTTTTCATTCCACACCAATGTCTTTGAAAACAACATTGGCTATTTGAGATTTGATATGTTTGGAGATTGTGAACTTCTAACCCAGGTGTCTGAGCTGCTGGTGAAGCATGTTTGGAAGAAGATTGTTCACACAGATGCATTAATCATAGACATGAGGTAAATCCTGAATAGAAAGTAGTCAAGTGTCTTCTTTCTAAGTACAATTTTATCTGTTGCCACAAATTTATTTTACATGGTTAACTGTTGTCTTTACAAACTAACAATGATAGGATGAGATAAAGAAATTTCAGGGTGAATTGCCATGGAAAACTATCAAGGGAAATGGTTCCATCATGTGGTTCATTTGAAAACAGATAGGAAAACTGGAAAATTTTCAAGAGTGAAGAGTTCTGCCCTGAAGCTATTTTCTTTCTCTGATTTCTGTATAACACTTCACTGGATATGACTATGCTTACTTACACACATTGTTTAATCATATCTTTTATCGTAGGTCAAGTGATTCAGTAGTGGAAAAGTGGATAATGCTTGAATTGTGCCAAGCTATACTGGGGGATCAGCCGTATATAGTCTGGTCCACAAGTGTAGCTCACAAGTGACTTAAGCCACCTTATCAAACCCCACCACTCCTTTAGCTATTCTCAGTGCTCAGAGGCCCTATGGTAGCCATGGACTTATCACATGCCTAAGTTTAAACAAAGCTTCATTGAACTTCCCAACATATGAACAACACTCCGTGTGCACGTGCCAGTATATGCTGTTCTACTTATTTGCAACAATTAACAGTGCTACACATATACAAATATATCATGTTTTTATGTAGCACTTCCATAAGTGTGTTTCTTTTGCATCAGCCCAGAGCTCCTATTTGGAAGCCCACCACACTTCAGGCAAATATTTATGGAAAAACAAACCCTGTGTCAGAAATGGTTTCAAAGACTAAGGAAATGCATATATCCACTACAGTCATGAATCTTCCCATATTTGGAACTTTTCTTCAAGCCACATGATTTCCATTTTTAAAATCAATTACTGTCTAATGTTAAAAGGATGAACAATCTTGGCAGCAGG